GCCTGGATTCAAATCCATCTTTGTCACTTTCTAGGTGTCCAGTCAAGTCACTTAACCTCTCTAAGCCTGTGAATGGCCATTACCTGTGAATGGTAAAAACAATATTTTCATTTCAACGTTATCGTAAAGGATTAAAGACCATAAACCAAGTGGCATGAGTTCATAAAACATGATCAGTTAAGACATGCTATGAACTTCTTTTAGTTCGGAGATTATCTAGTGTTAGCTGAGTAGTCTTGGGAAATTTACTTTCCTTCTCTGTGTCTCAGTTTCCTCATCTGTAATATGAGCATAACAATAAATTGTTCTGGGGATTAAATGAGTTGATATATATCTTTTCATATATAAAATTAATTTATATAAACTGTGTGCTCAGAATAGTGCCTGGTACACAGTAAGCACTATATATGTTGCAATTATTATAATTTTCCATTTATGTGGTAGCTGTGAAATGAGGGACATGGAACACCTGGATTTTAATCCCAGCCCTGCACTGAGTGAATGCACAAAAGCCACTGCACTTCTCTGCCATCATTTCCTCCTCTGTAAAATAAAGGAGTTGATTGGACTGTCTGCGGCACTCAGACATTGTAAGATTGCATGCTAAATTCCACTGAGAGATGCAGGGACTTGAGAAGACTTCTGGCTCATAGAGTCTCCAGCTGCTGATCTCTCACAGATCTGTCAAGGCTTCCTTATTGATTCACACCAAGAATCCTGCCTTAGTCTCGGTTTTTCTGCAGGGCAGTTGATCTGTTTACTTTGCACCAAGATGTGTTCCTCTGTCAGCCTCCTCGGAGCTGTCACAAGCCAGCTGCATGGCAGGGAGAGACAGAAAAAGTGTTTTTGTTTTTCTGCTTCACTGTCTTCCTTCCTTTAGGGTCCCTTCTGAAAAAGGCCAAAACAGAATTCTGTGTCTGCCATAATGAGACATGCTAGCCAATCGAAGAAGCAGGGCCCATGTCAGTGACAGGGCCTGCCCCAGGTAGGCCAGGATTAGAGTCCCGTCAAGCCTGACTCAGCCTCCAGTCCATGGGGCTTCAGTGGTCACTCCCTTTCTGCCCCTGACATATAGCACATTACAAACATCCTGAATGCTGTGGTTGGCAGGTGGAAGGAGGGGACAGTAACTAACTAAAGTATGACAGGAAATCTAAGGGAGGGCAAAAAAAGAGTGACATGTGGTTTTTGCCTAAGATTATGTGGCAGACTGAAATTCTACGTACATCCTGTCTTGCTTTTTCTGTATTATACTGTGACTAGGGAGGCAGGAAGGAGGGACTCCTTCCTCTTTCGTCAAGGCAGAAGAGTTATAAAGGCTGCTTCCATTTCTTCTCTCTCATGTGCTTCTGCCCCCTTTGTCTTTTTATCTGCTCCTCCCCAGAGGTAGAAGAATATCTGAGTGTCAGACTCAGGTGTCCCATGGTTGTATTTATGACCAGGCAATGTTATGAGCTTTAAAGACAGGGTCCCAAGAACTGCCCTTCTTTCTTTCTGTGTCCCGGCCCGTGTCATAAATGTCTAAGGAGGGAGGGACAGTACAGAGGGACTGGCAAACAGGGAGAAGAACACCTGGTTGTAAGTAACTGCAGATCAACTGACTGTGTTCAACAACGTGATATTTATAATACACATTCTGAACGGATTTTTCCAAATGACTGACTCATTGATTGGTTCCCCTGGCCATTAGAATAAATGAGGTAGAACTTCATCCTACTTTGAATTAAAAAGGGAGTTCTCATCACTCCTAACAAACACTGCATTGCTTATCATTTCCATCAGAAAGAGCTAAGCCTTTCATTGACATAGGTTATTTTGCAACCTATACAGCTCCAAATAATCTTAGCATCTCCAAGGGAGAAGAAAACTCAAAAGAACATCCCACCCAGTCCTCTATAACATTCTCCACTTGGCTTTCTCTACCACGTTTTTGGGGAATAGTTTCTTCTTGAACATTTCCAGTAATAAAACACTCACTCTTACACAGATGACTATTTCTGGACAGGTATAATTCTTTGTTACTTCCTTGTAACTTCCTCACCACTTCCTCCCCGCTTTTGGAGTCAGACAAAGTAAATTGAAATACCTTTTCCTATGACAGCGCTTTAAATGGTTCTCAGACTAGGTTATGCTGTAATGATCTCAGTGGCTGAAAACAGCAGCAAATCCTTTCATGTAGACACAAATGTCCATCCTGGATCATCTGGGGACTCTGCTGCACATTTCCCTCACTTAGAGACTAAGGTTAAGATAACAGATACTATTAGTAGTTTACTTTTAGCATCTACTAATTGAGTAAACATGCAATGACCGAAAAGTTAGTGTAACTTGAGTAATGGTTTCAACTGAATTTTAATTGTTGTTCTCCAACTTCCTGGGATTGAAGTTTCTTTCAAAACCTAAATAGGATATCTTGAGTTCTAACTCCATGTACTCCAGAAGTTGATACCCTCCCCAGTGTTTCTGTGGGGTTCCATTCCTTGGAGTTATCTGTCTGACTCTCCCTCCACAGCCCTTCTCCCCCAAGTTCTCAATCCCTGTGGGCCATATCACACTGCAGTCTGGTCTGCTTGTCCCAAAACATGGACACAGCCCCTCTCCTTTATTCTCCAAGTCACCACCAGAAAATGCTATAATGGGTGGCAGATTTACTAGAGTCTTAAGGATAACAGGGAAGAGGAAGTAGAGAGGGCACCTGACTGTTAGAAGAGGAAGTAGACAGGGTCAAATGACTTGACCTTTGAAAATTAGACCTCACAGTTTCCAAAGTTCCTTACCTGTCTCCTACTTTCCCCAACCCCAATGTCAGGCCCATCTTCAGCTCTCTGATGAATCCTTGCCTAATTTCTTCTCAACCCACACCGCTGGGCCCCATGTCTATGTCTCTAGTTACAAAGGGAAAATTCAACTTGACATTACTTTAATCAGCAGAGCAGTTGAGCTCCCTTTGTCTTAACCTCTACCATTTTGATTTATTCTAATAGAATCTCCTTCATAACAAGGACTTCTTAATATGTTTTACAAGTGAAAGAATTATCTACCATAGCCTCCACATTAAAAGAGAAAGCAAAAGTTGAGAAATTAGTTTTTCTTTAAGATGCCTCAAAAAATTTTGTAGCAAATGCTTTTTATTCCAACCAACTTCATATTAAAGAAAATTTGAAATGTTGTATGTATGGATTGTAAAGGGTGAATTTGGGGATATCCAGGAAGTCAGATCATGAAAGTCCTTAGAAGACCTGTTAGCTTATATGCATTTTTTTATTTTAAGCAGGAAATTAGCCTGATTGGTGGATTAGCATTGGGGGTTTGGGGGTGGGGAGCATAAGAGAGAGGGCAAGGAGACCAGCCAGTGCTGGAGTCCAGCCATAGGGGACGGAATGCACAGGAGTTGGTGTGGGAGCCAGGACTAGGCAAGGTATCAGGAATGACACTCGGTTTTCTCTTTGTAGCAACTGGTTGAGTGTTGGCACAATTCACCATGACAGAAAATAAATGAGCAGGAATCAATGGGTGGGGGGATTATGTTTCTTTTTGGACACAATTCATTTTAGGTCTGAGGCATCCCACAGATCAGAGAAAGGAGTTAAGTCAGGTTCTTCAGGCAGGACTGGCCAGAGAGGTCTGCATCCTGAGGAAGGACCAGGTTGCCTCTTAGAACCCCAATATTCCAGGGGAAACTTCGGAGTAAAATATCCCTTTTGCTGCCTTCGTCTTATTCGAGGTCTGGGACTTCCTTGGTGCAAATCACTAGCTTAATATATGGAAGTGACATCTACAGCGCTTGAGACTGAGACCTCATTCCACAACCTGCACCCTGGAAAAAATGGAGAATTCCTTCTTCACCTATGTATGTGTAACCAAACAGAGGGAGGGCTATTGATTTAATCTGAGTCACTGTACAGAGTGTTGCTTGGGGGCCCAGAATTTAACCTCAATATTGCTTGAAAGAGCCTTCTTGTAGAAGTGAGTGTCTCATTGTGATGGATGCCTGACATTTACCAGTGTGACTTACCTGTCACTGTTTTCCACCCATTTTTCATATGGGTACCGTTAAAAGATTTCACTTGTTTGCCTTCTTATGCAGCATTATTAGCATCATGCTTTTGCCTTCAGAAAAAAAATAGAAAAAGAAAATGTGATTAGTATTGTCCCATTCAAATCATTAAACCTAAACTGCCATCGTAGAAGCTACAGACATGGAGTCAGGCATGTTTCCAGCTCTAGACCAGGGAGGCTCTCTGCTGTGGGGAAGAACACTGGAATTGGAGTTAGGACATCTGCCTTCCCATCCCAGATTTCCATTCACTAGATAGTCCTTCAGTGAGTCACTCATACCGTTTTGGTCCTGTTAGTCTTATCTGAAAAATGGGCAAATTATTAGTCACTGATGAATCACAGGGCTGCTTTGAGATTGTGGTGGCAAGACTAAGTAAAGACTCTAGAAACCACTGGGAGTGAAATCTTGCCATTTGCAACAGCATAGATGGATCGACAGAGCATAATGCTAAGTGAAAGAAGGCAGGAAAGAAAAATGCATATGATTTCACCCATATGTGGAATTTAAGAAACAAAACAAATGAACAGAGGGGGAAACGAGAGAGACAAAGCAAGAAACAGACTCTTAATGATAGAGAACAAACTGATGGTTGCTGGGGAGGTGGGTGGGGGGGATGGGTGAAAAATAGGTGAAGGGGATTAAGAGCACACTTATCACGATGAGCACTGAATGATGTATAGCATTGTTGAAATCACTATATTGTACACCTGAAACTAATATAACACTGTATGTTAACTACACACTGGAATTAAAAATTAAAAACTTAATTAAAAAAAAAACTATAGAAATCAAAGGGATACTACATCCCAAATGCCACAGTCTAAGAGTGCTGGGCTTTTGGCATCTCTCATCAGTTCTTCCTCATAAAGTTCACACTGCCTTCAGCTACTGTGGATGCATTCTTAATTTTTTTTTTAAAGATACTTCCTTTCTCTTGCAGTGCATAGTATGGGACTGGGACTCCAATGGCAAACATGACTTCATTGGAGAATTCACCTCGACATTCAAAGAGATGAGAGGAGCAATGGAAGGGAAACAGGTAGGTGGTAAACCATGCATGCTATTTCCCCACACACTTCTCTCATGATGTATCTTTAGCACCCTCTATACATGGAACAGCAGGAGGGGAGACCTCAATACTTGATTAAATGTGACAAGTAGGGAGCATGGGGGGATTTGAGTACCTAGAGTCTAGTACTAGCCCCACCCAAAGCAACCAGTGTGCCCTTGGACAAGACACTGCCTCTGTGTGGTACAGTTTCTCCATCAGTAAAACCGAGGGGTCAGAGGAGAATGTTTCTTATTTCCCTTAGCTGTATAGCCTGTGACAAGTGACTCAGTTTTCTCTGTGCCTCAGTTGTCTCACTTAAAAAATGAGGGTGGTAATTGTACCTACCTAATAGAATTTTGTGAAGATTAAATGAGATAATCCATGGTATTCACTTAGCAGAGTGCCTGGCATGCAGCTAGTACTTCCAAAATATCTGCTTCTAGTAGTACTATTCTTTCCATGACTTGGTGGCATTCAGTGCGCATTTAGTGCTTAGGAAAAGTTATTGGATTCCTCCAAATTTTCATTATGGACACTAGATTTTCATTTGGCTTCTCCATTTCACTGTCACACACTGGATACCTAGACACGTACCCAAACACTGCCATATACCATAGAGGCACATAGAGATTTCATTGCACCAGACACAAAGCTAAACTTCCTCTGCATTTCTCTCAGACACACATGCATTCACATATCAATAAATTGATCAGTCAGTTGCTGTCATCTGGACCCTAACCATGGAACTGCTGTTCTCACCTGTTCAGTGTTCACCTGCCCAATTTCCAGCTACAAAACCTGTATCTCTTTGCCTGAGGGCTTTGTCTGGTGACTGGGGCCCATTCATCCCAGGGCCCACAGGAGGCTGAGGTATGAGGGGAGGTGTAGCTCCTTCTAGGGAGTGGCCCTCAACAAATAATTCATGGGGGAAAAGGGAGTATAAATACCCAGCTCTCTTGCCCCACAGGTAGCAGAACTTGGAGTGCGTGTTCTATGCAGCTTCCCAGGGTTCCCCAGTGGGAATAGGCCCTGGTGGCCACAGTGGTAACTGACCCGCACACCTTTTTGGCAGCCTCTGCATCTCAATTCCCTACTCCTCGATTGGTACTTTCTGGTATTACCTCCCAAGTGAACCATTTACACTTAAATCCTTGCCTCTGGGGCACTCAAACCAAAATACCTGACATTCTTACTCTGGGACCCACTGTCCCCATGGAGCAGAAAAGAGTGACAGCTGACCATTCAGTGGCTTTGAGAAAGGTCTTTTCCCTAGAGATAAGATCCTATACCCGGCCTGGTCAGAGGTGCTGATTACAGAAATGTCACAACTCATTTTTCAAGTCTCTTCTTTCAGATATAAGGTCAAGATATACCTAGACTGGATGGGAATAAACTAACATGCTTGAGAATGGAAGCTTAATCTAAATTGGACTGTTTGTTGAGTACTTACATTTGGTCTAGAAAATCAAGGGCAGCTTTTTTCATAACTCCCACAAAACTTGGTGTATATGCTCTATTAAATATCCAGTATTGCAAGCAACTTGTGAAACACTCAGAGATCTTCCCCACGAGCAGGCACGCAGAGTTTCATTCAGGGCCATAGTCAAAATCACACTAAATTATAAGTGCGTCACACCCAGGATAACAAGGAAGATAGCCAGAGAAGTTGTTGCTCTGTTGAACCAGGCCCCACTGTGCTAATAAATCAATGAGTTATCAATACCACCTACTAGAGTTCTAAAAATTTTAATAAAGTTGTACCTTATTCTCCTCTACAAGTAGAAATAGCCAAATCAATAAATGTGAGAAACATGTCGTCTTTAGGCTCCTAAGAGGGTGTTAAAAGTAAAATTATAGCATATATTATCATTGAAAAACACCAAAGTCTGATGCTTTCAAACAAACAGAAATGAATCCTCAAGTCCCACTGAGGAAATGGATCATATGATATGGCACTTTTCTGTATCACCAGAAAGATTTTATTTGGTCCCATCACTCAGCCCCATTTGGGTGCATTTACACTGTGGGAAATGTTCTCTTATTTACTGATTCTACTAATATTTATAAGGAACACCTACTAAGCGCCAAGCTCTAGGTGTGTCATGACTGTGCATCAGAGTACGATATAGACATGAATCAAACAAAAAATAAAAATGTTATTACAGCTTGTGACAAATGCTATAAAAAACTGAACCAGTTCAGTATAAAGGTATGGTATTGGAAAGATAATCTGAAATGGCAGCATTTAAGCTGAGGTCCCTTAAAGATGAAAAAAGCCAACCATGTAACAAGCAAGAGAAAAGCACAAAGGCCAAGGGAATCTTACATTAAAAAGTCCTGAATGAGGAAAGAGCTTGGTGTGATTAAAGATGTGGAAAGAGACTAGTGTATCTGGAGCAGAGAGCATGCACGGGATGTGGTCAAAGACAGAAGCAAGGGCCAGGAAAAGCACATTCTAATATCTCGAAGAAAAGAGTTTCAATTTTCCTCTAACTGAAAAAGAGACAGCTTTGTGCTCTCCAGGACAGGAGCCACGAGCTACATGTGAGTATTTTAGCCTCACTTTTAATTAATTAAAAATTTGAGTTTCAATTTCAATTCCTGAGTTACATTAGCCACACTCCAAGTACCCCATCACCTCCTATGGCTAGTGGCTTCAATGTTGGTTGGTGCAAATATAGAGTATTTCCATCATTGCAGAAAGTTCTACTGGACAGTGGTGCAAAGGAGTCCAAGCTAGAGAATGACATGACGGGTTTTAACTTTTTAAAAGATTATTCTGGCTACTGTGTGCATAATCCATTGTAGAGAGAAGACAGTGAAGCAGACCTGTCAGAAGGCAAGACAAGAGGTAATAATGACTTAAAGTGGTAATGGAGATGGAGAGAAGTAGAGTGATTTAAGATGGATTTTGGAGACAGGGGCTAAGACATGTTGAGGGTTTGGATATGAGGGGGATAGATGGGTAAATGTGGGTGCCATTTCCTGAGTAAGGAAGTCTTGTTTCAGGGAGGTCCAGTTGTGTGGAAAGTTCAAGAATGGGGTTCGGGAAACTGGCACTCAGGGGAGAGGCCTACCTGGGGATGTATTTTGGAGCCGTCAGTAAACAGAAGTGGTTGATGTTAAGAGAGTGGAGGATAGGGAGAAAGATAGAGGAGGGTTGAACCCTGAGGAACCTCAGTAAGTAGAAACAGAGACAAAAAGAGGAGACATCATCCTCTTTTAAGCTCCTTCCTATGAGAGTCATGGTTCTGCAGGTGCAGGGTAAATTCTTGATTAACTTGGATGAATTCCTGGGTGGCCTTCATGAACAGCCTTAGTCTGAGGTGGCCAAAAGGGAGACTTGCAAGAAGAACAAATAGGAGAGTCCCTCCAAGATCCTCCCCGTGGAAGCCTGCATTAATAGGCCAGGCTTTGGAGCGGGACTGACAGGTACCAATCCCAGCTCTACCAGTTGCCACCCGTATGACCTGAGCCTCATCTTTAGTCTACAAAAGTGGGTTGTAGGGAGAGTTAAGTGGGATTGTAGATGTAAGGCACATACCCCATAGTTACATGAAAACTTTATCCCAAGACAGATGCAAACTACTTACACCTGGTTCATCAGCACCCCCTTCCCACCCAACAGGCATGAAAGCCCCAAGTGCCTGCGGGCTCCAACTCAGCTTCCTTGGAGCCCTTGTCTGGCTGCACCAACCCATCCTCCACTACTGGTCTGCCTTAGCCTGAGAAATGAGTGCATTTTTCATGGATTGTCATTATAATTCTTTTTTTTTTTTTAATTTTTTAATGTTTATTTGAGAGTAAAAGAGAGAGAGAGAGAACAGGGGAGAGGCAGATAGAGAGGGAGATACAGAATCTGAAACAGGTTCCAGGCTCTGAGCTGTCAGCAGGGAGTCCGATGTGGGGCTCAAACCCACATACCGCAAGATCATGACCTGAGCCAAAGTCGGACCCTTAACCAACTGAGCCACCCAGGCGCCCCTATCATTATAATTCTTAATAGAATTTGAAATCTGACTCATTCAAAGTTTCATTTGTTATGTCCTGCTTTGTTGAAGAAATTAAGGTTAATGGGAATGATTGAAAATGACAAAGGAACCACCACAGCCTCACTTTCTAAGTGTTACGGTAAATCCCCACACTACTTGTTCATACTGTGACATTAGAGGAGGATTTGGGGGAAAGGCAATTTCAGTTTTGATGGGTTTGGGAGGGGCTTGGGGTGCTTTGTCTGAAAACACTAAATCTGCTTTGAGACAAGCTAGAATTCTTGCTTATCAAGAGCTTGTCACATGGAGAGCAGATTAGAAGAGAACCTAAGAGAGGGAAGAAAGACAACCATCATGATGGTGGAAAGATTAGGCCTTTGAAACAAAACAGGGTTGGAGATGTCCTGATTTCAGATTCAGTTTGACTCTTCTCTCTTCCTCTCTTCCTCTCTTCCTCTCACCCTCTCTTCCTCTCACCCTCCCTTCCTTCCTTCCTTTCTCTTTTTATTTCCTTCCTTTTATGGAAGGAGTTTTAGAGAGCCCTTAGCCAGTACAGGATTCCTTTCTTCCTAACTCTTACATTGTTGCCCAGTCCCTACTGGAACTTCCCCAGTGTTGAGAAACTACTGTTCTCAGTTATCTGTTGCTGAGGAACAAATTAGCCCAAAACTTTCCGGCAGAAAACAATGATCATTATTTACTCACAATTGTTGGCAATTTAGGCTGAGTTCACCTGGGGCAGCTCCTCACCACTCTACATGATGTCAGCTGAACTCACTCATGCATCTGTGCCTCCGCAGCTGGGATGGCCGAGACGTTTCTCATGTACTCTTTTATTCTCCAGGAGAGCAGCCTAAACTTTTTTACATGGTGGTAAAAACCTCCCAGCAGCAAGAGGATGGCAGGCCCCAATGCCCAGACACGTTTTAATCCTCTGCTCATACCACTTTTGCTAATGTCCCATTGGCCAAAACAAGTCCCATGACTAACCTCACCGTCATTGTGGGAGGGAACTGCACAAATACACAGACCCTGAGAGGAATGGGTCACTGGGAGCCAATGCTGCTTCAGTCTACCCCACTCACATCTGCCTGAGAAACTGCTTTATTTTCAGGGGGTGCCTGGGTGGCTCAATCACTTTAACGTCGGACTCTTTTTTTTTTTTTTTTTAACGTTTATTTATTTTTGAGACAGAGAGAGACAGAGCATGAACGGGGGAGGGGCAGAGAGAGGGAGACACAGAATCTGAAACAGGCTCCAGGCTCTGAGCTGTCAGCACAGAGCCCGACGCGGGGCTCGAACTCACGGACCGCGAGATCGTGACCTGAGCCGAAGTTGGCCGCCTAACCGATTGAGCCACCCAGGTGCCCCAACGTCGGACTCTTAATTCTGGCTCAGGTCCTGGTATCACGGTTCATGAGATCGAGCACTGCATTGGCCTCTGTGTCACAATGCGGAGCTTGCTTGGGATTCTCTCTCTCCCTCTGTCCCTGCCCCGCTCTCTTTCTTTCTCTCTCAAAATAAATAAATAAACTTTAAAATTTTTTAAAAAGAAAGAAATTGCTTTACTTTCAGATACCGCTAATTGTCAGAGAGTGAAAATTGGTCTCCTGAGTGGAAATCCAAGGATCCAGCTCCCCCAGAATGGTGGGCAAGAGTTTTCAGTGGCTCTTGGATGTTTGGCTTGAAGTTGATTTTGTCACATGAAGTCTCCTGTAGGCTTGAAAGGTTGATATCTGTTCTCCTAAGGCCCCCCTTAGCTCCCAGCTACCTCCTCAGTTTCCAGCCACTCCTACAGCTCTGATACTATCCCTCAGAGAAGCCCCTTTGGAGATCTGTTGTGTCCCTGGTGTGATATGTATCACTCCATTTTTTTAGTTCTCAGGGAAGTTCTGTGCAAACTCATCATTATCCCCACTAATTTCCTATAGTCAGCACTCACTGTCTCTCAGTTTTCTGACCTTTTAAGCTAATTCCCACGCACTAAGACTCAACAGTGTGTTACTCAACGGTGTGTCTACAGATGTTTCCTTCCCTCTGGTGCTTGATTTGATCCTATTAATAGAAAGCATTTATAAGTACCAGGCACTTTTTTAAATGTGTTATGTGGATTAATTATTAAATCGTCACAATAATCCTATGAGATAGATACAATTACCAGCTCCATTTTACAGAGGAGATATCCAAGGCATAGAGGAATCAAGTAATTTGCCAAGGGTCGCACAGCTGGAAGTGGAGGGACCGGGACTGGAACCAGGCAGCCTTATATCAGAGTCTCACTCAGCCACGCCTCCTTAACCACCCTCCCTCAGAATGCAAGGGTTATCCCGCAGAAACCATTTGTCATCCCTCAGATCCATGTGCCGTAGCACCTGGGGGCTTGGCTTCATGGAATGACTCCACTTCTTCCTAAGCAGGCTCTCTTGCTGTGGCCCCTCTTGTTGCAGGTGCAGTGGGAGTGCATCAACCCCAAGTACAAAGCCAAGAAGAAGAACTATAAGAACTCAGGCATTGTGATTTTGAATCAGTGCAAGGTACGTACATAGCCCTTCTCTTTCAGGAGTATGAAGCTAGGGCTGTCTGGGAGGAAGAGCTCAGACTGTGTGGCCGGAGGGAGAAACTGTCAAGGAGGTGTAGTGTTTTTTGTAATAAAAAACATAAAGTCCATGTTATAATGGATGTGGAGTGAAAAACATAAGTGTGGGTGGTCTTGGAGCTGTGGTGGCCCACTGCCACCATCCCTTCTGCAAAGACAGTCATACCCTCAAAGATGGGGAGTCCTGGTCACATGTCAGGCTCTTCTCTGTCCTGACAGCACCAGAGGGAGATCCCCCAAAAGGGGAAGACAACATTTCCAGAGCTCCTGCTATGCACCTGTCACAGTGTTCAGTGCTTTATATGTGGTGCCTCACCCATGCCGAAAGGGTACTGTGAAAACAAAGCAATGGAGAAAGATTAGAAGGCCTAGAAATTCCTCCCAGAAGGGCTCTAACTTCACAGAAAATCCCACATGCTAGCAATCAAATCTCTTAAATCATATCTGAAAATAATTCTGGCATTGGTTGAGTACTTACTATGTGAGAGTAACTATGATGAATTCTGTTTAACTTGTATCATAATGCTGAGATTTCTGCTGTCAACTGAGATCAGTACTAGTCACACACATGGTAAGTTTAAGAGCTGAGATTTTAATCTATGCATGTCTAACTCCACCATATACAATTTGAATGCCATCTAGTTTCTCTCTGTGTATGTCAGCTTCCTTTTCCCAGATTGGCTTCTCCCTGGCTGCCAGGAGCTGTGGGAGCATATCCTCTCATAGCAAGAGCAATAGTAAAGACTGATATGCCCACCCCTTGAACCAATCAGTGTATTAAGATTGGCCATCTAGGATCATTGTATTAATGATGTCTTTTATTTTCTATACTTATTTGATGCATTAACATCTCTGGGCCTTGTGGGCTGGGTAGGAACTTCTCCCAGGGTTAGCTAATTCCTATAGATAGCCAACAACTTGCTTGTGAGCCTGCCTTTGATATGCAGACCAACCAATCCAGAGCCCATACCCCCAACCACCTCCTTTGTCAAGCTTACACACACACACACACACACACACACACACACACACACACACACACTATTCCTCTGTCCCTATATCTCCCTGGGTCCAGGCTTTACATAATTAGAGACCACCCCTATAGCCCAGAGTCACCAAAAGTATCCAAACTCTCCAATCCTAAACCAGTTTAACTGCTTACCATACCCCACTCATTCCTTCCCATGATAAAACACAATAAAGACTTCCACCCACACTTTCCTCTCAACCTTTCTGCCTTCTGACTGACCCTAGTGCTTTCCCATGTGGCCCCTGAGTGGCATGACATGCCTCCTACCCTTTGGGGAACTCTGGGTAATAAACTCTTCTTTGAAAGGCAGTTGTCTCTGGTCATCTCCCCTATCTATACAAATCAAATCCCAGGCACATTCAAAACATCCCTGTGCCCAGGGAAGCAGGAGAAAAGATGTGGATGAACCACTTCAGTGGTTGTCTGTCTCTTTAAGGTGCCTGTGATAAGTCTGTTTTGATTCTCCATGAATTGATCTTACAGTTTAGTGCTTAGGGGCCAATATTATTCAACTCGTTCCCAAGTTCTTATTTCCTAGGTACATAGACAATAGTAGGGTGTCCCAACCATCAAGCAAAGCATTGCCAAAGGGAGCCAGGAGCAGGCACTATTCAGGGGGCCGGCCAAGTGAACACCAGCCCTGAAAAAAGTCTGCCAAGAGATGTGTGCCACCTAGAGGTGGTACCTAGAGACACCAACACGAGATCTTGTGGGTCAGTCTCTGAGAAGCTGCCCTGAGCATCAGATGAAATCTGAAAATTGAGGGTCAAAAATCACAGTTACTCACTGTCCAGGTTAAAGTGGCCAGATGACAAACTTCATGACTGTGGGTATCGTGTCTGTTTTTCTCATCACTGTATCCCTAGCATCTAGTGCATAGTGGGGGCTTTGTTAAATAAAATTTAAAAATTTATTGTTAAATAAATAAATGGATGAATATCACCAAGGGTCAAGAAGCAGAATCATAAGGAAGCAGAAACGAAGGCCAGAAATTGGTATGGCACATGAGAACACTGATAATCATGGTTGGGCAAAAAACAGAGACTATGCTGACTTCCAGCACAGAGGTCCAAAGGATGGACTATGCAGTCCATTTGCCACCATTTGAGTCCCACCTCCACCTTCTACTAGGTAGGTGATCTTAGCCTCAACTTCCTCCTCCACAAAGATGGCACAGTAGAAATAATAGCTCCACCTTTACAGGGCTGTCCTAAAACTAAATAAAATTATGGATGTTAAGTTCCTGACTTAGAGTTAGTCATTGCTGTTCATGGCATGGCAGGAATCTAATGAGTGGGAAACGGCCAGTAAAGGCCTTCTCAGGTAATTGCAATCCTGAAGCAGCTAACCTAGATTACTTGTGGTATTAAGAATGTTACCAGGACTGGAACTTAGACTGGGGAGCAAGAGTGAAGCCTAGTGTGAGACTTTATTAATTCCGAAACAGTGGTGTCCCTTGAAAATATAGTGTTAGCTCTCCCTGGAGGCATGCATGCCCCAAAAGAGGGGAGCAGGGCATGAATAGCTGCAGCCCCCACAGGGCCATCTGAATTAGGCATTGCTTTCTTTCTCTCCTATAAAATCAAAATTGGAGCAATTAAGCATCTGACTCTTGGTTTCAGCTCAGGTCATGATCTCATGGTTTCGTGGGTTTGAGCCCCACGGTAGGCTGATGCAGAGCCTGCTTGGGATTCTCTCTCTCCCTCTCTATCTGTCTCACCCCCAGTTATGCTGTCTCTGTCTCCCTCGAAAATAAATAAACTTAAAAAAAATAAAATCGGGGTGCCTGGGTGGCTCAGTCGGTTAAGCGTCCGACTTCAGCTCAGGTCATGATCTCACAGTTTATGGGTTCGAGCCCCACATCAGGCTCTGTGCTGACAACTCGGAGCCTGGAGCCTGCTTCGGATTCTTTGTCTCTCTCTTTCTCTGTTCCTCCCCTGCTCTCACTCTGTCTCTCTCTCTCACTCTCTCTCAAATAAATGCAGATTTTTAAAAAATTAAAAAATATATATTTATAAAAAAATGAAATCAAATCAAAATCAACTGACCTATCTCTTCCCCACAGATGTCTTTCTGCTCTTTCTTCTAGGTTAGCAGTCCAATGCCAAAGACTAAGCTTCCACTCCATAAGGAAATAGATCATGCTGTTACTAAAACGATTTCCTCTCCTCCTCCAATGCAGATCCACAAGATGCATTCTTTCTTGGACTACATCATGGGCGGCTGCCAAATCCAGTTTACAGTAAGTTGTTTCCACATTTGTTCATATTCATGGAGCAAGGTGTGGGGCATGGTGGAGGGTTGTGGGAATATGGAGACAAAAATTTATTAAAACCCTTGGTCAGCTTTTTTCAGGTCTCATTGCTGAAATATTGTACGATATAATTTTTTTTCTTTTCTTTCTTTCGATATAATTTTTTAAAAGTGAGTTCATACTTCTGTTTTCTCCAGTGACTATGGCTGTCAGGAAGTCATATCAGAAAAGTCATGCCACTCAACCTCAGGTGGTTTGGGAACCCTCCTCATGCTTCCCATTCTTTCAGTAACTGCATGAGGCATGGGGCAGTGGGCATATTGCCAGATCCCATTACCTGGTGAGTAGGAATTGGAAGGAAGTAAGCCACTCTGGTAAGTCCCACTGACCCAAGGCAGATGCAGCCCAAAGACCAGCACCAACGCCATGCCCAAGGGTCAGTGCCACGAGTAAGCCATCCAAATGGTTCATCAGGCAACAAAAAGGTGAATTCCAAAAGATTGGAGAATTAGGCTTTCAAAGTTGAGAAACAAGAGTGTCTAGACTCAGTGGGTAGATCAGGGATCATTTCCTAAATATAATCTGTGAACCCATAGGATTTATACACTCCAATGATTTGAGTGGGTAGGCTGGGTCTCTTTAAGGTGCCTGGTAGGCCAAGCTTATGAGTCCATCTGCCCTTGAAAAACTTACTTTCAGTGGCCTAATATTCAAAACCCTCCCAGGGTTGGACAGATGTGACCTCCAGAAAGAGGATCCCAGATGGCAAGGATAGATGTGCTAAAACCTATGGGAAAGCAACACGGCAAACAAGAGAACAACAATCTGAACAGCTTCTGCTCCCCATCTTGCAGATGTGTACTCGTGAAGGTCAGCCCTGTTTAGCTCCCTTGACTGGATCAGTCATGTGAGAAAAGCAAGGCAGATGGGTTTAAATTTTTTGTCCAGGTTTGAGCCCAAGAGAGTAGACAGGACCAGTGTATTTCTGGGACGGGGACGGCAGTACTCAAAGGACTAAAAGGAGCTGCAAGGGGATGAGAAAAGTGGTAGTTTTATAGACTGACCTCTCCTTAGCTAGAAGCCTATCCTCTAATCTCAGAAGGGTCTGCCTATATCTTCTCTAAACTTGGGGCATGGTTCACTTAGTCCTGAATAGGTATGGGTTAATTATAGAATTTGGTCATTTCTTTAGAGTCTAAGGCACACCCACCCAGCCCTCCTGCATGCATACTGGCACGTACAGAAAGTAGCAAACATGTTCATCGTGAGCACACACATCTAACTCCAGCTGTCCTATGGGTTCACTGTCGCACTGATGTATACACATAGAGGTAGAGACGCCAGCGATGTCATATAGGAGAGCTCCTGGAAATAGTGTCCCACAGTCTTAGGCAAAGGAGCAATTCAGGAAACTATTTATAGGTTTTCAAGGGAGAGCACTATTGATTTGGTTTGGAGTCTATAGATTCCATGCACTCAAACAACTCTATTCAACCTTCAGGGGCTTGCTCTGCCCTTGGAGTTGTGCTGCAAAGAACCAGCCCCCATGAACACCAGAAGTTTATCCCCACAGGGTCCCTAGCTCCACAACCTGCGTCCACGTGGCTTGCCTGACCCAGGCTGGCCATCCCCTCCTTTCTCACCCCTGCTGATCCTCCCCAGCTGAGGAGGTACCACCTTAATGTATATACCACTACTTCTCAGCTCCAGCTCCTTCTCCCTCCCTTAGCAGTTCAGTCTTCCTGAAACTCTTTGAATTGTCCTTTTATTAAGCTCTCCTGGATCATCCCTTCTGAGTGGGCCATTTGTTTCCCGTTAAGACCCTGGCCAGTACACTTTACAAACAGGGGCTGAGAGAAAGCTTTTGCACTTTCCACAGGTGCCTGGTGCTTTTGACTCTACCTTAAGAATGTCAAAAGTGGAGCATCTTCCCCTTCAGGTACCAGGCTGGTGTGTATTAGGTACTTTTATTGAATTACAATGGATTAAACCCTAACCTTAAAGGAGAGGGAAGGATGAGGAAAAACAAGAAACCTGATGAATAAGTATGATACTAGTTTTGGCTTCAAAAAGCATCCTATGAACTTAAATGTTTACGCATCCATATAGCCTAATGATAAATACCAAAACCTTATTTGGGTTAATATGCATAAACGGGGTATATTTAGGGGAGTATTGGAGAAGTGGTTTGGATTAAGAATTTGAAGGGCAAGGGCGCCTGGGTGGCTCAGTTGGTTGAGTGGCTGACTCTTGATTTTAGCTCAGGTCATGATCTCACGGTTTGTGGGATCGAGTCCTGTGTCAGGCTCTACAATGACAACGCGGAACCTGCTTGAGATCCTCTCTCTCCCTCTCTCACTGCCCCTCTACCTCGCTTGCACTCTCTCTCTCTCAAAATAAATGAATAAAGTTTTTTAAAAAAGAATTTGAAGGGCTTTTAATTTTGAAGTAATATGGTGGATAAGGGAATGTTCAGAAGAATCTTGAGCAGGACATTGAAGCAGCTGGGCACATGCTTTAGGGAACCAAATCTGGGAGTGTTTGGTGGAAGGCATTGAAGGTGGTGAGGAAATTATGAAAGAAACGCAAGCAGAGGGGTGCCTAGTTGGCTCCGTAGGTTAAGCGGCTGACTTCCACTTTGGCTGAGGTCATGATCTCGCAGTTTGTGTGTTTGGCCCCAGTCCAGCTCTGTACTTACAGCTCGGAGCCTGGAACCTGCTTCGGATTCTGTCTCCCTCTCTCTGTCTCTCTGCTCCTCCCCCACTTGTGCATGCTCTCTCTCTCTGTGTCTCTCTCTCTTTCTTTCTCTCTCTGTCAAAAATAAATAAATAAACAAAGAGATGAAGCAAGAAGAGATTAACCATCCTGAGGACAAGTAAGAAGAGGCTAAATTAGCAGGACAACAGTAGGAGAGGCACTGTGGAAAGAGAGTCCCATAAGCCTTGGCCTATGATCGATCCAATGAAGAGACAGAAGCAAGGGAGGATGATGAGTCCAGAGGACTCAGATCTTTTGTGCCTGACTGACAAAGCATGGTGATCCTATTCACGGCAATATGGAAATCGAGAGGAGCCGCCGACGAGATGATGGATTTTATTTTGGACATGATGGAGGTAATTTCAGGCCTCTCAGTGTCGAGATGGCACTTATAAATATGGTCCTAGGTTTCAGGAGAGAAGTAGAAGCTGCACACATATGGGTTTGGATGAGATGGCCAGAGAGAAGAAAACAGAGAAAAGGCATCTCAGGGAATTATAGAAGATCTCCGTCAGGCAGCAAGGAGAAGAAGGGAAACCCATAGGAGGAGAAATGCCAGAGGAAAAGGTCCAGGACGGGGCAGTAACCCAAATGACCAGAAAGAAAATATTAAAAGATCAAGGGCAATAATCCCATATGCAAGAAGGTGAAGAATAAAAAACTGGGTCATGTGATAAAGAGGCACATATCACCTTTTGAAAGAGCAATTTCAGCAGTATGAGACAGGGAGACCCAGAAGTTAGGGTCTAAACAGAAGGTAAAAGAACTGTTCATTCAAGAAGGTTGGCAACAAAAGGCCATATTTCATTCTTTCTCATTGCCAAGTAGTATTCCATTGTGTATATAAACCACAATTTCTTTATCCATTCATCAGATGATGGGCATTTAGGCTCTTTCCATAATTTGGCTATTGTTGAAAGCGCTGCTGTAACTATATATTTTCACTCTTATGTGGATCCTGAGAAATTTAAGACCATGGGGGAGGGGAAGAAAAAGTCAGAGAGGGAGGGAGCCAAACCATAAGAGACTCTTTAAAAACTGAGGATATGCTTCAGATTCTGTGTCTCCCTCTCTCTCTGCCCCTCCCCCGTTCATGCTCTGTCTCAAAAATAAATAAACGTTAAAAAAAAATTAAAAAAAAAAAACTGAGGATAAACTGAGGGTTGATGGGGGGTGGGAGGGAGGGGAAAGTGGGCGATGGGCATTGAGGAGGGCACCTGTTGGGATGAGCACTGGGTGTTGTATGGAAACCACTTTGACAATAAATTTCATATAAAAAAAAAAAAAGAAGTTTGGCAAGATGGGGCAAGAGAGGAAAAGGAGGAAAGCAACTTGAGTATCAAAATAGGGGAGGTTTCAGGCTAGAATCTGACCATAAGCAGAGAAGCCTCAGTGGAGTGAACAAGATTAACAATGCCAAAAAGAGCCCTAGTCAATGATTCTTTTTTTGCTCAGCGGCACCACTTGAGAATCTGATACACAATCCATATCCTCTCCCTGGAAAATGCACACACCCGATTTTGCATGCAATTTCAGGAGGTCAAGGGCGCTCTTGAGGACATTCCATCTCCTCATGCAAATCCTCGGGTCATAAGACCTGGAGGGCAACCGTCAGAGGGCAGACTTGGAGGAGGTGGATGGAGGTGGAACAGACTAGAGGGCAGGGGTGGGGGCTGCAGGAGGAGTTCACTGTGTTTGGCACATGGCAAAGCAGCCAAAAATAAAATTAGATAACTAGAATTTCACACACAAAACACAAAATTATAGACAGCACAGAAGAGACAGGCACCATAAGGTGTTTGGAAAGAAAATGGTAGAAGAGTTCACCATTTCCTTTGAAAGTTATTGCTTTCCCAGATGCATAAAGATGCACTTTGTAAAACAGATTTTCAGGGATAAGCTGTATGTAAATTACAGCACTCATTTAGGTGGATTATGATAAAGTCATTTTATTTATTTTTTCTTAAATATGAAATTTATTGTCAAATTGGTTTCCATACAACACTCAGTGCTCATCCCAACAGGTGCTCTCCTCAAGGTCAATCACCCACTTTCCCCTCCCTCCCATCCCCCATCAACTCTCAGTTTATTCTCAGTTTTTAAGAGTCTCTTATGGTTTGGCTCCCTCCCTCTCTAACTTTTTTTTTCCTTCCCCTCCCCCTTGGTCTTCTGTTAAGTTTCTCAGGATCCTCATAGGAGTGAAAACATATGGTATCTGTCTTTCTCTGTAT